ATCTGCCTGATACTGACATTCTATGGATGACGTCATTACTCCCAGGGTTAATTTGCTACCGCCATGTTGCCAATTACCACGCTGATTGTGTGGCAATGGGTGACTCCCGGTAACACTCCTAGCGCTCTACTGAGTGACATGCGATAGTACGCTGAAAATGAGGGGAATTTAGAGACATCAGTGTCGATGTTTTGGCGTGCTGAACTTATTTCCTCGGAGTTATATAGGCACTAAGGGACTGCGCGCAGCATCACATTCGACTGCGCTAACCATCTGCGGCTTCTTACTATGTACAGGCGCTCTGAGGTTTGACTGCTGTGGACTACTGTCAACCGCCCCTATAGGCAGTCTGATTGCCTTGATGACCTTTAGGGTCATGTTGAAGGGAGTATTTGTTCCTTTTGCCTTTCAGACTAAGATACCAAAAAGTCAGAATGGATTACTTCATACCCATCCATATCCACATCCCAGACATCCGGAGACGAACTAGCCTGCAGAACTTCGATCAAATGGAGGGTGTCTTGCTCAAGAGGAGTTTGGAAGCTAGATAGTTTGGAAGCTGATAAACATCGACTAGATAAGGAGAGGAGTGATAAGCTTCGACGGTGGGCATCATCTGTCACCAAGGCACTCAAGCTTATAGTATCATTATTGGGGTTTTTAATAGGAAAACGCTGAAATATCATTAAGAACCCCGTACATATAAGCATAGCTACACTTTATTCTGAACAAGTATCATAAGGTTGGCGGGAACTCCGAGTTTTGCTTCGACTGTTATTATTACTATTATTATTATTCGTTTCTGATCCAAACTTATTCCATCCAAGCATGATGATGATCCGGATGCTACTCTTTGGGGAGCACTCTGTTACATTTGCGAGTGCTTGTGCGTTCACATTATCCTATCATTAGAAGGATGAAGCAATTTTTACACGTAGCTATGGGAAGCGTTACTGGCAAGTGACGATATTCCATGATCGGAGATTTTCATCCTCCAGATGGCTTAGATTCGGGAACCTGGGAGAAGAAACAGGGAGCACTTAAATTTAATCGTCAGACGATAATTTTCAACATTTTTCATCTGTTTGCGCAACTCTGGGGTTGACCATTACCATCAAGCAGTTTAGTTAGAAGGGAACCTCAGTAGCCACATGTGGAAGTAGAGACCGACGTCATATTTGGCATAGCACCATCCGACAAACAGGATTTAAAAGTATTCTCCATTCAACAGTGGTGCTTAGTGCTAAAGACAACACGGATTACACTTCTAGCACTAATTATGATGTTGCCATGCCTAAGCAGCTTTAGGGCTGTAAACAGATTCCTTTGAGGTTGTCTGCCGATCTTATTACATCAGCGCGCTGGCCTGCAGTGGGATTTCCAGTTACACAAACTGTTTGTTTGGTTACCAGCCTGCGCGAGGTCCCAATGTTCCTACTACTATTGAGAAACACCATATATAATGTATCTACTATTTAAATGTATTTTCATGTCGCCAGTCCAGTTACCCCATCCCCATATATTGCTTCGTTCGATCTGCATCTATTGGACCGCTGGCTAATTTCCTTCCATTTTAAATAGCCGACTCACTTTGGGTTCGTACCTTCCATACAACTGCTTACATTCAATAACTTATGAAGCTGATCACGTTAAAAAGACGCACAACATTAGATAAATCACTTTTTAAAGAAAACGGATGGAACATAGACCTGAAGCTCTGTATTCCTGATGACAGTAAGACGAAGAAAAATGTATAACTTGACTCCCTAGAACTGCTTCGTTATCGTGACTGCGATTGGTTTACACTGAACAGGAAACACCAGGAGCTGTACAGATTACTCCAGCAAATGCTTTATTCATCAGTTGGCAGACTACAGGCTGACCATGAGTTTGGCGACGACTTTTGGATACTTTGTGCTTGCAAATGTCCATCGCTGTATCCAGACTGCAGGACTCATTTTGCCAATGCAAACACAATCGTACACGGATTGATCCAGTGTCACAGAAGCAACTGTGGTTCAAACAAAAATAAACCGTGTGTGCGCATGCATGCTTTCATGTATTTTATCATCATCCTTAATTAGTTGCCATAAAGTACCAAATGGCATTTGATGGAAAAATTTACGCTCAGTTTTCGCGGCCAGCTAAACATTTTAGCAAGATACCGATAGTCCCACATTGTTTAATGGTATAAATTCACTGTTGCAGCTAATGCACACGCATGAACCATTGTTTCAGATTACGTAGACGTATTTTCGGAAATAAATGTGCCCTAATGTGCGTGTTACAAACACTGGGTGGCACCACTAGTGAAAGGGGGGCAGCCCCCGCTGCGAAGTCATTTATTAGAAAACACGAACCAAGCGCGTACTAGCTACTGAACACAAAAGTAGATATCTCATCTACACAGAGTTTTTGAAAAGTAAACATTCCCAAACGTGCTCTTGAACTTTCATGGACGGCTTTTGACTATTAAACAAATATAAACAAAAGCTGCAAAACGATCCTATAATTTTCATAGTAACACTTACCTTCCGCCAGCTACGGGAGTGGAGCACCGAACAATAGATTATTTGCATGCTTCATCTGTAGTATGCATCGTTACACTAGTAGGCCCTACTTTCTGAGTTCAGTATAACATATTGTGGCTGATTAAGAACCATGGTGAATAAACGTGAAAAGTGAAAGCTAATGGCACGTGATCATTCGCCTGCAGAAGATACGATGTGTCGTAAATCAAGTACAAGTTTTATAACTGTTCTCGGCACCGAAACTCCATTCCTGACCCTAGAGTTCCGCGTAGAGCTCCGAAAAGGTCAGATTCGTTTTAAGATACTACCTGGGAGCAAATAAAATTACGAACGACAACGAGCGATACTCGGAGACAAGCTCAGGTCTACAGTTACCTAAGTACACTTTGTGGAGAGTGATGCTGACATCACGAAGCAATCGGGACTTTCACAGCGATCAGCATTTAACCAGACCTTCGTCAGTGATAATTTCATCAGACTTGAATAGAACAAGGGTGTGAGTCAACTGATCTGAAAGGGACAGTTACAACATGAGCGATCATAAGGACAATGTCGGATCCAATATAAAATGATTTCCATTATTAAAGAAGGGTACTTCCAGCCTTTTCGTAGTCTTTCCCGTTTTCTATGCTGCCGTTTATCTTGCTCTGGTCTGACGGTCCATTTTTTGTCTACGTTGTATGTTCAGAGGCGCAGTAGTCCATTCTTTAGACCCTTAGATCTTCCATACAGTTTGGTTTCCCAAATTCACATAACCTTGTGAAATGGCCCTAAGTTGACATAAACGGTAGCGATCTCGGCACTGAAACATGTGGCTACAACATGACTCGTACAGAGATATTTTCCGGACCGTTTTTTGATACTATAATTTTACGCTTTTAATGGAGGTACAGCGGATGCCGTCTTGCTCGACGTTTAACCAAAAGGCTAAAACTAGAAAAGGAGAACAAATCAGGGTTGGTTTTTCCCAGTACAATACTTCTTGATCTATGTTTAGACATGTAGCTATGAAAATTCCACTATAGTTCGAAACGTGACCAGTCCTGGCAACTCTGCGGGATGATTCAGCTTTGTGGTTTTCCGGTGGTGATGTTAATTGATCCAGGCTGCGATTAAATATCGGGAAAGGATGTAATGTAGAGGTACTAAGATAGAACCTACAGAGTTAATTTGGTTTTCAAACTTCAGTATGGAATCTACAGCTCGGTTGTGTGGGCAGCAAATGGTGGGCAAAATTGTCTTAGGCGCGAAATTACCTTACAGTGAACACGCGTACGTACTCAAGGGCCAAATTAGGACAACCGAATGTAGTTATGTAGTACTTATCAAGTGTCCAAACGACGGCAACTCGAATAGAGATTGAGTGAGTCCTGAAATGCGACAAGCCATCGATCAGGTACCACATACCTGCATTTTTCAGGAATCTAGACTACCTCATCCTCATGTGTTTCCTGGATTTCCCTCGCTTACGCATTGACGCTGAGTATCAATAACACGCCCAAACATGTTACTAGTACTGTTACTCGTTGTAATGTCCTTGAATTGATTCCACTCGTCGCCAACTACGTTGTCGTTGTTGTTCTCCTAGTACAGCCTACTTCGCTCTTCGTTTCAATAAATTGAATGAGACCAAACTAAGCATTGATCAGGTCCTTTGGGAACATCGGATTAGCAGTGCTGAGGTATGCCAGATGGTCTTAAGAAGAACAAACTCCCACGATAAATGAATTACTCACGCTTCATAGGTTACGTTGGTTAGGACAGGCACTCTCGTTCAGCTGTACCACCTTTCCGGTGCCTAGCTGGTATGCCACCGGAAAGAAGCACGAGGGCTGAGATACTGCCAGGTTGCCCAAACCCAGACAGTGGAAGTCGAGAGGCAGAGGTCGGCTTGAGACCATGGACCTTCCGGTCAGTAAATTGACGCTCTTAACCACTTCAGCCATCTCGCCAGAAGACCGTCTGCCTCGCAGACCTCTTTTCACCCAGCTCTCCGTTGGGTGGAAGCAACCGAGAGGTGGATAGTGTATAACCTGGTAACAAAGTATGAAAACACTAACTGGTAAACTAATTCGGGAAACAGCTGCCGCCTCCCTGGATGAAGACTCTGGGGCTCAGCTCACCAGTGGTTAATGGCACTGGTAGAAATGGCCCAATCGCGCGTATTGGACAACATCCGTTATTGTTTGTTAGCTCTGGCTCAGTCAGCTGCGTCTCAGCTAATGTGTTTTTACCTTGACTAACTTAAAGGTTTTGTGGTCTGTGAGAAGATGGTTGTTATAAAACTACTTGAGAATTTAAAATATCTTCCATTTTCACGCATTCAGTTCTTAATTTTCTTTCTTGTGGTGTGGTTTTAATATTCCGTGACTAGTTCCCGATTAGTGTTTCCGGAAATCAATGGTTTGAGCTCACCATTGTTCTCCCTTTCTCTCCACAAACTTCGTTTGTACTTCACTTATCTTTTAGTTCGATTTGACGTGAATAATCGGACAAGTAAAAATGATGAACTTGAGACCGCGCCTCACCGCTGTTGCTCGAGGTTTGCATTATTTTTCTTCGCCTATGAATTTTTAGATGTACTAAATGCCATTGCTATCCGCCGCGGCATTTCCGATCTGCCAGAAAGTCATGTACTATTGCAGAAAACTTGCAGAATGTTTGCAACTGACTATTTGATTCCGAGAGCAGCAGCTCACGATACCGAGAAAAAGTGTCCTAGGGAAGCGGTAAGTCTTTATTTGTCAACGGGACAATCAAAATGTGCATCCAGCAGACACGCAGATTTTTTACCCTCTTCAGATAACACACAAAGCGCGCAACCACAATGTCAAGCGGCTGATAACGCTTTGTAAACAAGTGGCCCTTCGTTAACGGAACTAAGTGCATCTTTCACACTCGCTCTTGACTATTGAGGTCAGACTGTTGAGTCAGTGGCTCGGCTGGAGGCTCCAGACTAACCTCTATATCCTCCGCGTGTCCTGTGGATTCGACTTTTAGGTGAATGACGCTCTCCGTCAAGTTGAGCAACTTATTTGTCCTTGTGACTCTCCAGTCACCCATCTAATAAATATTTTCAACTCCATCTATAACTACCTAATCATCGTTCCGTTCCCTTCTCATCGTCCAGTGGATCTTTAACTGGGCTGATTTCATATTTTAGCCTTCAACGTTTGTAGTTTTTATCAAATTCGGAGAAGCCTCTTTCTGAGGCTTTACTTTCAGTTCTTGACGTATGCCGTGTCTTCGTGTCACAAAACTACGGTTTGGTCATTCATTCCAGACTACGTGTTGAGAGCCCAGATATTTCACACTTCTTCTACTGCTACAGATGCCGTGAAGCGCAATGTCTGGGGTGTGATAGTTTCACTCAGTCCCAGGGCAAAGAACACTTTACCAAACTGGATTCCAACTCACAGTTGCCTTTTTATTTTTCGGTTGATTAGTTCTATTGAGATTAAAAAACGGAACGGCAAACGACGCGAATTCATCGTATCGGCGTATTATGGGTTCTAACCCAAAAGCTCAGTACGATGTTTTCCATGGGTATTGGTATTGATTGATTCGGTCCGAACAAGCTCATGTTATTCTGGTGGGTCGTTTGAATGGTAAATCGTGCAAAACTACGTTTGGGAAGTAGATCTGGTGTCAGGGCTTATCGTGCAGGTAGTGATTACCTAACCCTCCAATCATGTTCTGACCATTAACCGCTCATAGCCAGCAAGAACTTTAAACAGAAGCGCCCACACTATGGCACTTGAGTCCACCAACGTTCGATCTCTCATGAACCCAGATAAGCCGCATGGCAGTCACTCATTACAAGGTTGTTGCTCCTTTCGATGTGTATCTTTTGTTTACGACTTTGTCACCATATGTGCACAAATACCAGCTCTTCCCGGAACATTTGGATCGACTCTGGACCAGTCGGCTCACCACTTTCAACTGGTTTTCACATCTCAACAATATCCAACTGAACTAGCTCGAAAGCTGGTAGAAGCGACGATCTCAACAATAACAGTAATCATTTGGAGGAAGATAGTCGCCGTTTAACAGAGCCTTGACTCAGCTTTTTAGGTCGTTTTCCAATACGAATGGGTGCTTGACACCACGATAGATAGCTTTTGCGGACACCAAGATATTACAACCACGATCATTGACTATGATAGCCTACGCTTTTCACGTGAACGTCAAATACTAATGGGTTCCTAGCGTTGGTCATGTCACCCCGGTGGCATTCTAAGTCCAGAGAGTAACGACTGCACTGTGTGGGGTCGCTAGTGCTGAGGTGAGTGGTGGGGGACGATGCCACTTCACATAGAATCAAGGCACTTCAGGAATAATTCTTCCTACTAACTTATCAAATGAAGTGGATGCTTATACAGGGATGTCACCTTCACTTCGTCATTACTAGTTCACATCCCTGTCTGCTCATAAATGGTTTTTAATTGCAATTAGCGTACCACGGATAAAGTGTTGCTTTGTCCAGTGTTATTTCACAACGTTATAACAGACGCTCTTGCTTGAGTGCCAATTATAAATTCAATCAAGCTTGTTCATCCAGATTTTAAAAATGACGCAAAACGATAGGGTATCCCAGGAGAAAATACCTAGAAACTGGCGTGGTCTCTTATCGATCCCGTCCAACAAAAACATGATGACTATCTGCCGATCCTTTCGTTGCACCAATACAGGCAGGCGGGACTGACTCATAAAACTGATAGCAACATCAAAAGGTACGGAACTCAGAAGCGTTACTCAGATTCGAACTTCTCACTGCTCCTGTCCAACATGTTTGTTTCAACGGTATTAGTACTTCATTAACGTCCAAGACAGCTAGGTCGATAAACCGGTGCCTGTTGTCTTTAAACACGGCCTTAATGTAGACAGATCAGTCCTCTCACGTTTTGAAAGACTTTTTATGTGGCCAAAGCAGACACCTGTTCTATGTACACAAGGAACTGTTCCGCCGAAAATTCCCGAAGAAACTTCTTCACAAACTTTACAGAGAATGATTGGCTAGGAAGTCCACGGGTAGATATAACCGATGGGATTCTGAAGGACAAAAACAGTACTGAGTGGTCCAATAGCTTTCATCAACCTTATGGGTAGCATCGTATCAAGAGGACGCTTACCTCGATTATCTCGCCAACTGGAGCAAGTTTAGACGCATTCTCGGGTCGACTTGACCGCTGAGCTTACCGTTCCTGGTGATTTCAACGTTCATAACTCTAACTGGCCTGCTTGTCCAGCTGATAACTGCGAAACAGAGTTCTTTCCACCCCCTGTTGTTCTTTCAACTTGTGAATTTCCCCGCTCGCTTCCCCAACATTTCATTCACCCTGGATCATCTCACCAACTTTACTCTACAGTCTTGTTCCGCCCCAAAGGATCTTCGGATCACGTGTTTGCATGCCAATGTGCCCACAGAATCCTCTCCGCTGTCTTTGGTGCATTCTGGAGTTACTCTTTCGCTAAATCCAAGAATGTCTATTTTTTATCATATCCTGGGCGACGTGTCCCTCAAATGACCCATCAACGTTTGTTTCAAAGATTTGCAGAATTTCTCGTCAACATCTGACACCTATTTATCCCTCATTCCCCCACCCCCAGTAAACATCCACGCAAGTGGTTTGATTATCTCCGCTTTCATGTCGTCACCTGAAGGTTGTTGCATGCGTTAGCACTGACTCAGTAACATCTCCCCACTCACCTTTGATTCCATTTTTGCCCGTAATTCCAACAAGTTGCCATCAAAAGAACGGAAGGCTGACGAACTATCGAACTCACCTACTAGAGGTGTTTCCTTTTCGACCAAAACGGCGAAGTGTAGGTTTAACACTTCTTCATTTTCTCTCATTCCTGATGCTCTTGATGTCCTCATATCCTATCTGCAGGAGGAAGTTGATGTATTGATGGATCTATTCTCTTAGAACTCCAACATCCCTTCACCCTCTGTCTCATCAACAGATCCCAAAGTGCCCATCATGTTGGCGCGCAACAGGTACGTTAACCTCTTCTTTCACACGATGTTTTCATGCCTCCCAATCTTTGTGGTATTTCCCATATCCTCTCGAAAATGATAACTGGAATTATTCCCTACTCTCTGGATTTTCAATCTACACCCTCCTGCGAGAATACCCCGATCTTTTTTTAGAAACCAACCCCTTTTCTGCCTGTTTCCAAGTGTGAGTCCAGCTCCAACCCTAACAACTACCGGTTGGTTTTTGTCATCCACATTTTGTCACAAGTCTTTTGCGAGCAGACCAATTGCTGTGTGAATCAGAGAAGAGTATCCTACTGAGTGGGGCCGATCTGGGTTCAGACGCAATTACGTCACGGAGCAGCTTTTGGCGCACATCTCACATCTCTGGTCCCCCATGTTGGACAAGTTCAGTGATACCCAAACAGTATCGCTTGACATCTCCAAAACTTTGATTTGGTACACACCAACAGTTTTTGAATCGATCGACAATATTCAGTCCAATTTGGAAACCTGAGGAGCCGATCAAGTGTGCGCACGTCCACTGAATAGATTCTGTGGCCCCTTACACCGATCCACGTGTTCCTCCGGGCTCTGTTGTTTCACAACCTTGCCTTTACTGTACTTGAACGATCTTGTTATCTGGTTTTCTCCAGAATTCATGATCGCCCATGGTACTGTTTTTTACTGCTCTATATTCCATCTCAGCTTCTTTTTGGATTCCGTACGGCCGTGTAAACACTACCAGCACTATGGGAAACTATCTCACCCCAATTCCTCATTGGTATCTCAAGTGCTATGGTGTCCAACCCTTCCACATCTTGCTTTATTGCTCTCGCAATTCGACAATCTGTTCCTCTTTCTTCTACTTTCGCTGCTTTATTTTTTTGAACCTCTGGAAACCACTTGATTCACCTACGTCAAGCTAATCGCTACGAATGCATCATAGAGACAAGTTTCATTCTCCGTTCCCGCAAACATTTACTACCTCTCATTTCTTGTTTTGCATAGATATCAACCCACGTTGTCACATCTCGGGTCGTATCGAGTTTTTATTGTCAGGTACTATGGCAGTGTCTGCCCGCTTCTGAGGTCTTGTTTCTTCAAGAAACATTATGCTCCAACTCCCATGAACGCCAGCAGGTTCACGGCAAGCTCTCAATCACTTTCGCTACATCCAGACAGACCGCTAATTACGTTCTTCACACCCAGAGTTGCTAAATGGTTTACTTGCTGTTTGTGAGAGTCACTTTTCCCTTTGTAGGAAACTGTCCTACGTGCTAGGGTGCGGTTGATTTTGGATTCAAAATGCACTCGCCAGCACTCAAACCTATGATCACCCGGAGTCATCTGGTCCCAGTTATCCACACGGAAACTAGAGTTTATATCTTGTTTGCTTGCTTCTTGCTCGTTCAGCCCGCCGTTCGCTTGTTCACTCGATTATCTTGGGGCGAGATGGCTTAGTGGTTAGAGCGCTAATCAATTGACCGGAAGTTCCGTAGTTCCAACCCTACCTCTACATCCCCACTTCTCCCGTCTAGGCTTGGTCAACCTGACAGTATCCCGGCCCTCGTGCTTCCTTCGGGTGGCATGGCAGCTAGACACCGAAAGGGTTTTACAGCTGAACAACTCACTCGACCAATTTTAATTTCGATGTGAGTAATCGTTCCACCCACGACCCATCTCGCTTGTGGCTTTCAGTTCATGGTAGAGTTTTCAGGACAGGTTTGATTTCATTTCCATCTTTTTCCCGATTTGTCGCTTCTCCGTCACAATGATGCTAACAGGTCATAAACCGTGGAGAAAAATATTCGGTATTGTTTTTATCGTTCGGGAAATTGAGAATTGACGGCAAATTTCATACTTGGCGTTAACAGCCTATGGCACTGAATTTCCTGAGTATCGTTGCTGTCAGCGTTAAATCAAATACAGTTGTTTTCATTGATACTGGATGTCATATAATTCGAGTCGTGTTTTGATCATTTGTATTCTCTCTATATTTAGTTTCAATTATAACTTGAATTTTTTAAGGCAAGGTTTAGAAATTTAGCCTTTCGATCACGTTGTTGGCCCCAAAGTAACAGAGATAGTCTTTCATGGATTGTTTTTTGTATCGATGTATTCGTGCGAGTCGGGTTTAATATGAACTAAAGAGATCAGTGAAAACATCTAGTTTTGTATCCTACCGAGTACTCTGCGTGAGTGAAAACAGTCGCACGCTTCCTATGAACCGAAATCGACTTTAGAATGAAAAAGATTACTGTGTTAATTACGCTTTACTCTCCGTCAGGATCACATTTCAAAACGCGAGGGAAGTAAAAATAGTCACTCGTTTCTGTATTTATTACTCGTAGTTAGCTGTGGCATTGAGTCATCAAAATTTGGAGAGGGAGTGGCTCATCGTGCTATTCCGGAAAGGGTTCACGATTCTAACCAGTTTGAGGATCACTGGGTCAGCAGTTTACAGTTAGGATGCGTGTGCGGAGTTTTGGCCTATCCCGTTGAAGCTGGTTGGCCACTAGAGTGATTGGGATAAATAGTCAATCCTCTGATAGTGTAATAATCTGTGCAGATAATCTGCCCAATAGTTTTAACCAACCATAGGTTGGTCCTTATGGTATCATCACTCCCTGCGCCGTACTTTGAATAAGTTCTTTTGTACCGAGTTGACCAATCTGTGATTCCCAACTTTGTACGGTTGACGTGCGAGACGCATACTGTCGCACTCTGATAGCCGCAGACAGCAACTATAGGGGGATAGTGAACTCGCCAGAGTGTGCCCTTGTTTTGAAGCTGCCATTACTTAGCAGTCGAGACTTTTTCACGTTCCTTTTGTGCCAAAATATAAATAACACGTTGTCCGATTAATGAGGTTTTTTTTCTGAAGAGGGATAAGTATTTGACTTGTCCATTAAACGGTAACAATCTGGACCAGAGGATGTTTTTAGTGTAATGATATTATTGGTAGCTGTCACTTGCCTGTACGTTGAAGGCAGCCCCACAGTGAGCTTAATTTGACGGCTTGGACGAGAGCGCTCCTTTTTTGCTTCACAAATGCTTAACTTAGCAGGGTGTTCCTCTCAAGTGCGCAATTTTCGAAAATCGATGGATATTGTTGAACGCGAAGCGTTTCTGTAGGGGTCAACCTGAGTGCTGTCTCAAACCAAGAGCACTGTTTTATTTCAACCGTCTGTTTAATGCCGTTTCTAGTCAAATTGTATGTCGCGTTCGGTTCCCTCCTCACCGGGGGACTCGTTGAATGAGGTTTTTGATGGATAAAAACTGGTTGCGGTTAGCTTGCCCACTCATTTACTTCACTGTAGGTAATCACCATCCTGATAGCCTGTTCTATTGTTTTGTACATTCAGAACTAAGCTGCCAGAAACAACAAATCTTGTACGCTTACCCTCAAAACTTATTCATGAACTGGTCGGACGACTGGATGCCTGCATCTGAGATATTGCCAGGAGGGTAGGGTAGAGCTTCACAATGCTCCCATTTATTCTGTTGTTTCATCGTGAAATCAGCCTCCGTATTCACGGTAGTAATCATCATTTATAGTCCCTGAATTGAATGCTAGGCGGTATGGCAAGTTGATTTGATGGACGTGGCCTAACTGAAAGGGTTACTTAGACCAATAATGTACAGTTGACCTGTCTAAGTCGTGAATGCTCAGTCGGGACGTCTTCATATCATGTCGTTCTTCAGGTTTTTTTCTTGCATGGACTCATTCTTCCAGGACTAAAACTGTTCTGCTTTACCGGTTCAATTACCGATACGACACCGTTTCATTCGTCGAGTAACCATGTGGGCGTGGGACTTCTGGAGTGTTTTGTTGATGATTAGAACTGATGCCATTCTGACTTTTTAAATCAACAGTTTTCACCTTTTTGACTTTAGGGCTCGCTATCTCTTGAAATTTCAGTTGGTGCAATACAAAAACGGTTTATTACTTTTGTACCATCCCTGTTTTTTCATTCTGCTCTTTTAGTTGTCCAAGCTTGGAGAGCTCGGTCTGATGAGCATGCTGGTTCCAGAACGTTATGGTGGAGCTGGACTGGACTACCTTGCCTATGCCATTGCCATGGAAGAGATTAGTCGTGGTTGTGCCTCGGTTGGAACCATCATGTCCGTGCAAAACTCGTTGTTCTTTGCTCCGCTACTCAAGTATGGCACTCAAAACCAGATTGAAGCTTTTCTTGGCCCTTTTCTTACGGGTGAGAAACTGGGTTGTTTCGCCCTTTCCGAACCAGGAAACGGAAGTGACGCTGGTGCGGCTTCTACCACTGCAACTAGAAAAGGTCCAACCTGGGTGTTGAACGGAACCAAGGTGTGTTCACTCTTCACTCGTTTTGCTATACGTCCTCAACACAAACCAGTCAGATGAAACATCTTGCTAGTTATTTCTGCTTTGCTGTCTGTTGAGTTTCTAATGGTTACTTGTTTTCACTTAAGCCATGGAATAATAAGAGGACTGTTAGGCAATGTCACAATGCCCTCATACATTGTGACAATTGTGGCTAAGGCGATTTGTTCCTCTGTCTTTGCCTCGCATTGCATGATTTTAGTTGCGTTCACGGTGAAACAGCGAGTAAAATTTAACAAAAGCAAAAGGAGATTTTCCGTGCTTACAGTGGTCACGTGCTTTATCGTGGTTCACATTTCGCATCCCTCGTGTTGGCGGATTTCTATTCGGAACACAACTTTTCTTGATTGAGTTCCATGGTATATCACAGCGTCTGCACAACTCACGGTGAGTTTTTTTCATAGAATTTCGTGTTCGTCTAGTTTTATTAGTTGGTAAAACAAAAAAAAACTGACAGCGTTCTTAATGTGACGTCACTTGTGGAGTTTATACCCTACTGCCAGTTTCGCTCTTCTTGAGGCTCTAGATTGGTGTTGTCTCTAAATTTTCATGGCACAACGCCATCTACTTACATACAGTTCGTCACTTGTGGAGTTTATACCCTACTGCCAGTTTCGCTCTTCTTGAGGCTCTAGATTGGTGTTGTCTCTAAATTTTCATGGCACAACGCCATCTACTTACATACAGTTTGGTGTTTGGGTATTGAATAAAACTGGTGGAAACTCGGGGACTATCCTTACCTGATGTGTTCCAAGAAGGGTGAATGCGATGATAAGCCGTTTACGAGCTTTCATCCACCTTATGCATTTCGTTATATCTAGAAGAATGCCCCGGTATTTTTAATGTTCAATTTGGAAGACAGGGCGGTCTGCGTCTCCGGTTATCCTGATTTGAAAATGATTTTTTATTAGCGTTGTTTACGGAAGCACGGTGCGGTCGCTGAAAAGACACGGCTGAGTAGCGACTCTAGCTAATGGAAATGTCCTGTCTGTTTCACCATTTTTGTGATTGGTTGCTCGTCACGGTACGTAATGTTGTGGTCAAGCAAACAGCGTTCGCACGTCACCTTCCTGACCCTTTTGGTCCGTGCGATATGGTTTTAAGTTTTTTTGCAAGCCCTGCAATGTAACCGTGCACTTTTGCTCCTGGGAAGGAACTTGAACGCTAGAGGAATTTTCCAAAAAATGTTAGGGTCTTGGACGCGCTTGAAGAAGGAAAATGTTATGCAGCATTTGGGTCCCATTACGAAGTGGTTGAGTCTGCACTGCATCTACTACGAAGCCAGGTCTAGGATTACTGTTATGACATGTGCAATCACAATGCAAAGTGAGTAGCAGAGGTGCGCAATCAGTATTAGGGATTAATTCAGCATTGAGTATTAGTGATTGCAGGAAGAACAACATTCCGCTAGTAATCAAAATCAAGAAGGAGAAGCCTAGAGAGTCTAGCCGGACTAGCCTGTACTCAAATTAATGGCGAGAACGACTCCAAACCAAAAATCGTCGGCTGCTTCAGGATGGTTTACTTAGTTTCAGGCCAGCAGGAGATGACTTGGCAAGCTACGAAAAGGATTCCAGCTTGGAAATGTGTCGTTGTATGGAGATGCATCATTATTAGAAGTGAATTCAGTCAATAGATGCTCCAAAACGCTCAGAGTGATCGGATAATGAAAGGTGTATATGCGGATTGCTCGGCCTGCTCTCCAGGGCGATGACATCTAACAGTTCTGTGATGAATAAGTGGGTCCGAGTCTCATTTCAAAGCGGTGACGTTGATACTGCCGGGTTCCTGCAGAGGCCATCAATAGGTTAACAGTCGGTGAATCATTGGGCCTTAAATGAGGAAAGTGATGCAAATCTACTGGATGCACAACTCCAAGGTCCAGATCGCATAATCCCTCATATCCGAATGATTCTGATCGTGCTTTGTCCCCCGAAATGTCACCGGAATTATTGGGTTAGATTTTAAATTTTTCACGATGGACCTTACCGAAAGTTACCTACTAGATTCATCCTAAAAGCATATACGGATTGGTTTCTTCCCAATGAACGCAACAACACTATCTTCGTATCAAGGCATCCTTCGAACTTTTAGGATATTTCAGAGCTGCAGTGGATGGCGACTTTTGTGTCAAGGAATTTTTGCTTACATTCACCATTGCAATGTCTTCAAGTTATAAAGAGTGTTCCATGGGGGCTGAAATCTGAAACTTCTGACACACGTTTAAATAAAATGAGGCCCGAGTGCATCTTATTACAAGGGCTTTTCTCCAGAAGGGATTCAGTATGACAGTTAATAAGGCATTCAACGTGGTACGTGTTTTAATGGAGTGCTTCGGCAACACAGCGCATGACTACTTGAGTGCGCTTATCGAGACGCACTCTGACGCACTGTCTGATGAGGATTTGGCTGAGCCTACTAAGTCGGAAAGCGGAGCACATGAGAAACAAAGTGATCTGCTGCGTGAGGAAGAAGGTCAGGATGAAATCCTCTCACCATACAGACTTGTATCGGTGGCAAATTTCGCGAAAGAGGTGCGGGGAACAGCTAAATGACACGAGTTTCATTTATCGTTCTGGCATTGCAGTTCAAGGACATGATTGATGCTGGAATGCGACTATGCAAAGCCTCTCTCGCCACTATTGAGACTAGATACCAGCAGTCGCAACGCTTTTACAATCTGCGGAGAAAACTTCAGAAGCATCCATCTCGAATCATTTTAAATCAAGAAGCTTCAGTCAGGGATGGCCGTAAGCTAGATGACAACGGTTACCCTAACTGGTTTGTCAAACTTGGCACAAAACTCTGCTACTCTGTTGTGACACTTATCTGGTGAACAATTCATTCCATGATGCTTGATATATGCTTTTCTTATACAGTTAGCCCAGCTGGGCCGTAAAATTCGGTCGTGGTTTACGTCTTTGCAATCTCTATTTTACAAATTAACAGCGGATCTCTCTATCGCTTTTTTTCGAGTGACCCACGTCTAATGCAGACTGCTTCGAGGTAATCCTTACCACACAACCCCTATTATATCATCGGTTTTCTCCTGGTGCCCGGTTGATGAAGGACTTCAGTAACAGAATTTGCAATATACCATAATGCATCCATTTTGGACGTTATGAGAAAGAGAGACAACTTTGAGCTAGCTGAATTTAGTTCTAAAGAAAACAAAAATGGTGAAATAATTCGGATTTCACTTATCGTGACCATTAACGCCTGTCTGTTAAGGATAATCACACATTTGTCAGAATTTTTCAGTGACCAACAATTCCGGAATGACGAATTAATTGTGCTCAAAAAAGGTTGGTTTCCTACACATTTTTGTGTTGGACTCACTTCACTGGCTGAATCCGTTTCGTGTTGACCACCCGGTTATTTTCCGCAGAAGAATGGAATTTCGTCATCTAAGTTAACAGCAACTGGTGTCATTAGGGAAACGTTTGTTTTCAATCCTCCTCCGGACACATATCAGTCATCCAGCCATTAAATTCAACTCCCGCCTCCTAATCTAGTGCCATTCGGTCTCAATTAGGACTTTGTACATTGTCCCCATTACTTCAGTGTTTGAGCCCAGTAAATTTGCAAAGTCTTATTCCGCTGCAGTAATTGTCTGTTTGGTCAACACTTTGTATCTGTATCTGACAGGTAGTCTGAATTGGCCCATCTGTCTCTCTGTCCTTCGGATCGAACAGATTGTGCATATTTCTACCATTCTAGTACGCCTTAGCGAACAACACCAATATCTTTGCTACATAAAATGCTGGAAACTAAAGCGAAGATGCTTTTCACACGATAGCATCAGCTCACCGAAGAAGTTTTTCCGTGGATTTTGCAATCACTACGATCCTAGTCTTCAAGTATGTTATAAAGATTGAACCAGATAGTTCAGCTTCAATTTTGACTGTACTGTCGAAACCATCTGCATCAAAAATATGATGGATTTCTCATCCCTGACTGAATCAACTCATGTAAATGAAGATGTAGGGGTTACGAATGGTTGCGCCTCGGAGGTTGTTCAGTTAATGAGCCAGATAAAAGGAGTAAATCAGCAAGTGAATAGCACCCTACTTGCAGCGAAATTTCTATGTGAAGTCTCCCAGTAACTATGTGGTAGTGGTTTCGAGTGTTGCACGAACGCTGTCGGCCTATACGTCATCATCATCATCATCACCGACAGCATGACATCAAAACCGTTGCTTCGCTGCCTTACAGGTTTTACGTAGGCTGGGATACTGTCAGGGCGCCCACACCTAGACAGGAGGACGATTAGGATCCTCAACCAAAGTCTTTGGCTCAAAAGCCTAACCGTAAGGCAGCGGTGTATGGCGGGAAATGCAAATGCATCACTATTTCTATGGAGCAACTCGCTACATGTTCCAACCCTCAACCTGGGGGACCAGGAGGCTGTGTTCGTCAGAGCTCCAGCCATTGACCAACCTGGTATGAGAGACCCTGTCGCTGGGACACACCCAAGTATGCAAGCCCAATCATAGGTTTACCGGACTGACTGTTTCGTCAGCACTCCACCAGATAAGTCCAGGTGGTTCCACCAACACTTAAACAACAAGTATGTTGAAGAAAAAGATGCTCAGTCTGAAATTACACGAAATTTGTGGTCCCGATCCTGTATTACTCTACTACTTTAATATCGTCCGGACATTCCAACTAGACTTCTTAACGATTCTGTTCATTCACTGTCTTGCCAGCATGAGGACATTTGATTTCCGTGATTATCCCGGCGAGTAAAAAGGGGATCTGGAGCTATCGTCCGTTCATGTATGCTTTCGAAAGTTTGTTCGAAATTGGAACGTTATCCAGAGTTATTGCCGGTCGGCTAGCTAAAGATACCGATAATTACACTCTACACCGGACGCTGTCGTACACCTTTGGACTCCGTTTATTTATTTATTTATTTTATCTATTCTATTTATTTATTCATGTATTTATTTATTCAGCATTCTTAAATTACACGAATTTCTTCAGTAGTATCAGTCAAGGCTTATCAATGCAGATTTTAGCCGGTGGATGTAAAAAACCATGTGGTTGCTTTGTTAACCGAACGCAGTCCAATTTTCCGGGTAACCAAAAATTCCTTCTGCTCCGAATCCGGAAATCCGTTTTACAAGGCCCCACCCCAATCCATTCTAGTTTTTCATTTAAGTCCGCTAGCTACCTGTTGAATATGAGAACCTACCTCAGGGTTCGAGAGGCACGCACTGCTGACAGAGCACAACACTGCAAGGTTTCACAGCTTTTCAGAACAACTTAACGTACCTTTACGTGAGTTTTAACACAACTGTACTTTGCACGGAGCGGATTACTTCATTGCTGTGTTGCGTTTTCCGTCTTCGTATTTTCAACCGGTATTATTTTCAACAAATTTCTCCCAAACAGTTCAATCGAGCAAGCATACCGGTGTCATGTGGTTCATTAGCACGGAAATACCAATATCTGAAAATTTTCAACTCGCCAGTCAAATCAGACGCCACTTAAGAATGAGCGTAGTTTTATTGCTAAATGTAGCATTCTGCATGCAATGAGAATTCGGAATATTAAGTATTGCGCAAATCAGTGGCTCAGTGTAAATCCAGTGAGGACAACAGTCATAATTTTCTTTTCCGTTGACCCGAGTCTAATGTCCTCCATATCACCTCGGTTACTGCAGTGCTGGATAACAAACGGTCTCGAAGCGGAGGCGGCAATCGTCTTTGCCACAACAAACCGTTCCCTGAAACACAAAGGCATTTCGGCTTTCCTTGTACGAAAACCGACAGAGGGTCTCGTCGTCGGAAAGTCAGAGGATAAATTGGGAATTCGTGCCACATCTACGGTCACCCTGAACTTCGATGACTGTGTGGTACACGAACGAGATGGCTGTGGTTTGTTGGGTCTCGAAGGCAATGGTTTCAAAATCGCGATGAAGACTTTGGATGGGGGGAGGATTGGAATCGCTGGACAGGCACTCGGAATAGCCCAGGTAACCGCTCTGTTTGCCCTTAGCCTTTCGTGTGACTGGATGATGCTGTTGTCAGACGTCATCATCACTGATCGTTGTGTACCCTGTCTGTCTTGGTTCACGCTGTCGTCAAGTTCGCAGCCAATTCGTTCCTCATTGGTTCTAGCTGTTTCGGTGGCCGAACACTGTCGTCAAGGTTTCGCCCGTTCTGAGCCCAGAATTGTTTTAGGAATCGCGACCCAGAAGATAAGCATCCGAAGTAGTACCATCCGTGGTAGCTTATTCATTAGGTGGTTGCTCAAAGTCCCCATGGAATGTAATGATACACGCTGATGTAGACCTGATGGAATTACATTTGATACCGAACGATAATAGGCCAGCGGACACTTAGACTCTCGTTTTGTCGGAACCGGAGGGAAAACCTGTATGGTACTTCAGCGTCATCATATGCTATAGCTGCTCATCTTGATGACTGGCTATTTTTCTTCAATCCCCTCAGCTTTATTCTGTATGTACTTGAGTTTCATGGTCTCATCTGTGACGTGCCTCTTCCTGAAGTTTGTATAATATACGCGTCACAGTTGAACATGGATCCATCAGTTAGTTCAGTCAGGGACTGCTTTTCTATCACTATCCACTAAAGGGAACGTGAACAAGTATCGTTGAAGGGACAATTAAAATACACCAACTGTTCTATCTTGTAGGAATATGGATGACGTAACTCTTGGTTATGAGCTGATTGAAATTCTAATCTCCCTTAAGCATTAATTTAGAACACTCAATGTCCCCATTTGCATTCGTTTCAACTTCCAGATCTCGTTTTCCCATTTCCTTCATGTGTTTGAAAAAACACCATTCAGTCATACATACGCTCTCTCATAATTTGATTTTTTGGGCCTATATCCAAATCGTTTGAAAATCGATATACGGAATATTGGAATTATGAGTCGAGAAAAGTTTGTTTCATAATCGGAGTTAGAGGCGTAAAATCATATTAGCCACATTTGTGGTTGTTTTATTGCCACTTTTGGTGCTTCTGGTTGCTTTATGTAGGCTAACAGAGCAAGTACAATGTTAACACACAACGGTACTCACCTTTTATGTGTTGGTCGCTTGATGATAGGTTTATCCACCGAGATCGATAGTTCTGTTGTCACTAATTCAGGTGTCAGTGCATCGCTATGTGACAGAGCGGTGCGGTGCTTCAGTGATTTTTCATCACTTGTATTTGCATTCTTGTGCCTCATGTATCAGGCGGCTTTGGAGTGTGCCTTGGACTATGCGGGAAAGCGGTCTGCGTTCGGTAGTCCTATTGGAAAGCTTCAAGCCATTCAGTTCAAATTAGCCGACATGGAAACACGTTTACATTCGGCTCGCCTGTTGACTTGGCAGGCTGCTCACCTTCTCGACAAAGAAGCACCAGTAACCAAAGCTGCAGCGATGGCCAAGTTGGCTGCTTCTGAAGCTGCTACGTTTGTATCCCATCAGGTTAGCCACTCGGTTGTTTTCCCTTCTGTCTTGTTCATTGCGTCCATAAGTCATGTATTTCCCGTTTCCAATGTTTTACGTACCTAACTTTAAATGCTATGCATTTCCTTTGAACTTTCTATTTATGCAGCAAATTCGGTTGTGCGTTTTCAGGCATACATTTTAAATTACCGGATGTTATGATCAAGCGTTACGCGAAACCATGATGGCAGGAAACCAAATGTACAGGCCACACTCATTGTGTATAGGTTATATTTCACTGCCACTTCAGTTCCTCACTGCTACCACGTTGGACAATCATTGTATAATAAAATATCAGGCAAGTAGCGCCATCGCCAAATGCTGTTTTGAACGTAACCAAATAATATGCAGTTTACTGCACTGATTAACCATTTGGTTCATGCCAAACTAGTCAACTCCGTGGCGTGAACGAATTCGGCGCCGTGCAATCATTTCACTCTGCTGCCTTTGAAACGAAGTGAGGTTAACTTGGTTGAGTTTAACGCCCGTTTGTCGCGGATTCCGTGAATCATCTGACTAGTAGCAAGTTGTAATAGGTTTGAGGTGCAAAATGCTATCGCAGTTGAGCAAGAAAATGACACAGTAGTAATAGGAAATTACGTCAGCGTCCCCTAGTGTTGGTCACTTGTCTCGCTGTGCTGTTTGTCCAGTAGCTGCAGTAGTTCACTGACCACAAAGGCTGCAAATCAAGCTGAAAAGAACCGATTGTCGTACACCGTGTTCAGAGGTCCGCGTTCCGTCCGCAGTATATTCTTACAAATTCCTCTCACGGACTTCTACATGCACGAACATGCAATGCGTTGGGTATTTTTGACCTATTGTGCGACAAGGCCTGGTTACGCGACTCCCTATTTCATGATCCTGTACTAACCCGCTTACCCCTTGTATCTGCCTAGTCCCCTATGTACGGAACACTGGCTTTCTTCCGTCAATTTTGGTTGTTTGGGCTGCTTCCATGATCCGTAGGCGATAAGCATTCGTACCGCGACATTCTGGTAGTTCATGAATCATATCGGGCTTCACGCACATCCCACATGTTGTTTGGCGCTGTTAAACCGTATTGAATACGTTCCTTTTGCTGTCTTGGGAAATTTCCTCCCTCATGTGTATTTAATTTATTGACCCCGATTAACCGTGGACCTTTTGTTAGTCCGGAAATGAGGGTGAAACTGGAATCTGTAACCAGGTTAGCGTTTCCGAGGTTCACTGATAGTTACACTTCAGCAATCTGAAACTCGAAGTCGTCCCTGTGTTGGGATTCTTCTGTTGAACCTCTCACTGTTTCGAACTTCTGACTCTGTGTTACTCGCCGTGTACCTGTCCGTATCCTCGGATTATTCGTCAAGATAAATTTAAATTCTAGGCGCTTATTTTAATGCTGCGAGCTGGCTTCAATTCCAAGCAACACGGACAGTGTGACGGTGGTCACAATTGCATACGAATGGTTCTAAGTATATTTCTGGCATCAGGTTCACAAAGTCCACCGAGTTCAAGCTCCACTAGGTATCACCAGTTTGTGGCGCCGTGTGGTACTGGATACGTTGGAGATCCCACCCGAAGTATGGATTCCTTTGTTCACAGAATTGTGCCATGTTTTTTACAGCACGCATCTCATAGCCGACACGGAGATTTGACTTTCCATGTCGTCATCTCCGGCGTAGTTTTTTTCCATCCACTAGCGGCCTACTGTTCTCATGTGTCAGCGTATCCCGGTCTCCTTGTGTTTACACGGTAAACGTGAACGACGGGTAAGTGTTGCACATAGGTTTTCGACTTCACCATCGACGATTGTCAGTGATTCAGACTAGAGTGGGGTATGTATATGCTGTGCACATTCGTGCATGCGGACAATTCTATCAAAACCATCCGGTTTGTTTCATGTGCATACAGTGCGCATACGGATGCGCACTGCATCTAGAAGGGTAACATTTGTGCAGTGTCTTGGTTCACCATTTTGGAGTGGATAGGAATATATCAGATTTTACGGGCGACTCGGAACGATCGTCAAACAGCCTTTTCTACAGGCCTCTGATTTCGAGACCGACCAGTGCTGAGCGAACCTCACTGGCTCAGGATGAACGCGTTGAAACCGTACTTGTTATGGCCATCTTTAGATTACTAGTGGTAGTAGATCGACGCGGCCTCCACCTGGTCGAAATCCTGCTTGATGCTCACAGATTAAGCTCCCGCCTCCCACATTTAGAGGACGAAGGGTCAGTAACACCAGAAGCCTTGTTAAAACTGGACTCAAGCTGACACTTCCACAGTTCATAAGTTAACTGTGAGTAAGTTTTTCGGATATGAACATCATTATTGACTGACCCCAGTCGTCTGGTGGGCTTTTTTTCAAAAATCCACCTTCACCCATGAACAAAGCAGACGTCAGGATCAGGACCATGGTAACGTTGTAGTAGGGATAAATCCAAACTCTTCTGAGGCTAACAGGGGTTCCACATTCGCAGTCCATGTGACAGTCCGAATACGAATCAGTAGGTGACCAATCGAATTGTTGCTTGAAGTATTCTGTGCAGTGGTCTGAATACTCCTCGCTACTACATCCTCAGTTAATCACACTCCTAATCAGCCACACTTGGCTTAACGGTCAGGTGATCTAACTGCTGGCCGGGAGGTTACGATTTCGGAAGTCCCTGGGGTTTCGTGAGACGCGTACCACTGGTGATTCCCAATAAGAATGAAACAGTTGTAGCGTACTTCTCGGCTTCACACCGTATATTGGTTTCACTTACAGGGCGAAAATTCCACTGAAATCTCGGTTGCATTAGCCACTTACGTCTCTGTAGATGAGAACCCTGGCGAGTCATGAATGATCGAATACATTGAGTCCTGAAACAGTTGAATAACCAAGGGCGCTGTACCGCTAAATCGCAACCCTCCTGAATACAAGCCAATACAATATTAGGGGTTTGTTGTGTTTAGCAAAGTCGTCTCAATCTCATGGCCTCAGAGAATAAAGAGTTGCGGTGGCTAGAATAACTATTATTTTGTGCGTCTACCATAACTGGGACACTGTACCGCTTTGGGTTCAAGTGGAAACACTCCATACAGTGGGCTGTTGAACATAGGAATGAGGTTACTCTCCACTTAATCTTCCTCATTTTTTTTCAGGCCATACAGATTCTCGGCGGCATGGGCTACGTCAATAGCATGCCTGCTGAGCGACATTACAGAGATTCCAGAATATGCGAAATTTACGAAGGAACAAGCGAGATTCAGCGCTTGGTGATTGCTCAAAATTTGTTCAAAGAACATGGGATCCCTCTCTCGTAAACATACTTATTCTCTCAGGTGTGACTTCCACTTCTAATTGACTGCATTTTACGATCAGTCAACTCATGTGCCCAAATAATAACGTTTGTTATTTTTCACGACGCTTCTTCCACTGATGCTCTTTTAGCATCTCTTGTTTGATATTTTTTTAATACCCAGAATGTGCTTCATTCTTGCTTCTGGCCTACTTTCTTGATTATTATTTCACGCACATGGCTCCTGAGTTTTATTCTTCTGATGGCATTATCATCTGACCGGCCGCTGGTAAAATCACACACTGGCGAACGCACCTGACCACCGACGGTGTCCTGCTAATGGTGGACTTGTCCAATACTTGCGCTGGAACGGTTAATCGATGCGCCTAGGGTAACACCCGGGAGTGTTGTCTTCGTGATTGTTGTTTGGGAACTTAAAGAACCATGCGGTGATTTTGGAAATTGAAAACCAGTGGATCATTGTGTCATCACCAGGAAGGATTAACCTGTCGTAAGATTTCTCGAGACAGAAATTATAGTGATTCTTGTCGCGACAAAAAATTAACTTCTACCAGTAGGAAGATGTGAACCGATTAACTTCAGCTTAGGTCCTTCTGTTCAGAGATGCATAACATCCACTTGCCACTTCAATCTGTTTTCAGGACATATACAGGTGTACGGTGTTCATCAAAAGAATTACTATCTATTCAACACTAACGGCTTGAGGTGTCCAAACCAGGTTTGTTGAAGTAAACAGCACGCATGTAACCAACAGATCTGGCTACAGCGGTTTCTATTGTCGATAAGCTGGCGCATAGTGTGGTGAATTTTGTACTACCCAAACAACAACCGACGCATGGACGGTACCCAAACTTGTTGCTCGATAGATTCGATCTAGATGATGCATGCCATATGTGCCTTCTGAGAAATGCAAACAACGTGATATCACTACTCACAGCTCCAAGTGATACATCATTCCAGGGAATTTATGCACCTAGACAGAAGTTACGACCACCAACCATCATTTTAGTGCACATGTTGGTTTATCTCAGCTGGCCAAATCTCAAGGTGATTATTTATATTTATTTATTTATTTATATTTATTACTATTATATTGTTTATTATATATATATTATATATTATATTAAATTATATTATTAGAATCATTTCCTCTGAACGATTCAGATATCCGGACTTGGTCCTCATCCAATATTAAGTCGACTCCGGATATCTCATTATAGAAACAAAGCGTTAAGGCCAGGATATCGGTTGGCGGAGCTACACACTGTTTCACTTTACCCCTATGTCAGTACACATTCCAGTGCGGCTGTCCGGACTTGCTTGCCGTTCACTTGGTGCTTGTTGGACCTGCACGCAATGGTAAATCGTCCCATTTCCGGTCGTCCTATGTGTCCAAGCTAGCAGATTAATGGAGCAAAATATTTGGTGAAATTCTCTGGGAGATTGCCATGAGGCTGCATCAAGTTTCAGAGCTTCCATAGTCACTCCTCAGAGGCTTCCGCAACAAGGGTCACCTCTCAGCCCCTAGGGAAGTGTGCTATAATCATTGTAAGTGGTGTCCCTGTATAATTTGGGTACTGCTTCACTTAGTGACAATACTTGAGTTTACACAGAATAGTTTTGGTGAGCTCACGTGTAACCAGACTTCACTTAATACGAAGTACCTGGAATTACTTCTCTTGGATAATCTAACTGCCAGGTTGCCTCAATTACCTTGTTGAGTGTTTGTTATGTTATATTTTATGAGCATTTGAACTTGTTTACAGAAGCGATAATGCTTCAAAATCTCAGCCTCTGAGTAGCATTTGCCACACGTTATCTTTCCTAGGCACCCCACTGATTGTTGTAACTGTGGCTTTTAAACACTTCAAATTCTGTAATGCGCTTCCAGCCGCAGCACTCCAGCGTGTTTGCACATTTCTCTGTTTTTTTTTCAAGATGGAGGTGTATTGCATCTCTACCTGCTGAGGCAGTGGGCACATAACCCAGTATCCTGTAATTGATGAGCCTCCAACCATGTTACGTATTCATCATTGGCCACTCCATTTGTAGTCGAAAAAGTCTGACGAGAACTTGCGAACTTGTGCCCGTTTCCCGACCGGATAAACACTCCAGAAACGCACCACAATCCCGTAGGATTCGTGCCTGAAACTGAACGGGCAAAGCGAATTTCCCCAAGACCAAACTTTATGACGCATACCTATAGATAATTTTCGAGACTTATTCGAACGAACTGCTCATGATCAACAGACATCGAGGCCCTTACCCTTGTCTTTACCAGGACCGATCGCCAGTGCTCAGGAAGAATAATTTCGCAAAACAAACGAAACTTTCATCTGAGAAGTCGTCAGTCAACACGTGAAGTGATTACCATGATTGATAGGTTAGTGGTGCTGCATACTGTATAAGTGCGAGTAAATCATACTGCTGATCAGCTAACGTGACCGAACGGCCCAATGTTCCGGGAGGTGGCTGCTTCGAAATTCGCTGTAATATCCTGAGTTGCGCACTGCTAATGGTTCCGATTAAAGCTAATACACTCATTTGCAAACTGTTTGCTTTTGCTAGAGACTCATCTCGAACCCAGTTGAATCTCTCGTTTGTGATGTTTCCAGGCTGGGTTCAAGGCGAGCCTCTCGGAAAACCAAATTAGTTTGCAAACCAGTGTATTCCGTGCAACTTGGTTCTAAGCAGAACATAAGGTTGACGGAAACTCGGAGACTGTGCCTACCTGATGAGCCCTAAGAAGGGCGAAACCGGTTGTGGGCTGTCGACGAATTTCCAGCAACCTTATGAGTAGTGCATTAAGAAGGATAAAAGTTGTGAAGCGCTTCCTGGCTTTTCAGCATACATTGTCCTCACTTATAGGACAAAATTTTAATCGCAGATTGAATGCATCACACCGTTAGTTTGGATGGCAATTGCTGTTACATTTGTTTATTTGGATAATGCTCTAGGTTGTCTGAATATTGTTTTGGTTTTCACACGTACATGTAGATACATAGATATAGTAGTATTTGAATGACGTCATATTATTTGAGAGATATTTTTCAGAGGACATGCATGTGATTGCGTTCATAAAATGCTAGGTTGTGATACCTACTGTCACAAACCTAGGTTTTGTTGGTGGAAATTCCAGTTATTGTTTCTGCGCGAGCAGACAAGTGCACCAGGCTTATAAAGCCCTTTCTACACTTTCTATTGATCTAGATTAATACCATAAATTTTGTTCCGCTAATGCAGTAAGTAAGATCCTCACTAAGAACCAAAGTATCTGTAAGATTCAGGCGGTTGTGGATCTCACAGGACGATTGCGACTAGTTGATTATACGCAGTTCGTAGCCAGTAGACAGTAGGAGCAGACAGACTTAAGAGCGGATGATGTATTGAGGACTGACAGGAACTGGTTCTACAGCAAACGGGTTGGTAAGCATCGTGAATTTAGCAAACGTACAATCAATAATGACGCAGTCAGCAGAAGCGGAAAAGAGTCACTGAAGCGTCAGAGATTTCTAGAAGCAACAGCAATTAAGCACCAAATGATGTACAAACATACATATACGGGGAGTCTGACAGTGTGAGTTGGCCGTATAGAGAGAAAAAAGCGCAGAAGACCGGTACGTTTGGGATGTAAGGGACTGTCTTTCGGTTGGCGACGCGGCAGCTCGCGTCACGTGACGAGTCAGATTGCGTGGTTTCGTCCATTTAAAAGAAATCTTGCCAATGGCTGTCTGGCGGATGACGTACATGGGTTTTACAAAAAATAGCCCCCCTCTAAGCGTCATGTCGGTGTAATGGACAGTCTGTTCGCCTACTGTTCTGGAGCATCTGTGTTCAATACCCGGTCGGTCCGCTTTTCCGTCGGAGTGGATGCTCGGAAATAGGTACGACTGAGGGAACTTGCAAGCAGTGACGAACGGAAGCAAAATACTTACACCAGTTACTGAAGAATAAGCAGAACTTTAATGGGAACAAAACGCGAGAAAAACGAACAGCAAGGAAACAAAACGGCGTCATAATAAACGGGAGTGAGTCACGTTACTCATGAGAAGTCAGAACACAAGAAAAATTACCGTTGATCCACAGGGGTAATCAACACTCCCCAGCCATAAGTTTACGTAAGGACCGAGCCACCAGATGGATCAACCACCCTGTTTCTCCGGTGCTCGAATTATACACCACCCTGGTCGGAAGCCTCCATTATGTAGAATCGGCGAATGTCTCGAAGTACTGCGATCACCTCCCCGACTGTCCCATCGGTCCATTGAGCCTCCTTTTCGTCACTGCTTTTGTCTAACTGTCCTCTGGGTGCCGAGATATTTCGCAATAAAACGAGGTCACCTTCTTTCAGCGTCCTTTATCGTTTAAGGCACTTTGACATCGTCTGCAAAGTTGGGAGGCACTCCTTCATCCAACGGTTCCAGGATGGGTCGGCTAGATAGCTGATGTGTCTTCAGGCTTTATTTAGATTTCCTGTGTCTATACAATGAATGGCCGCTGAAGGATTCGCGCTCAGGAGCAACAAATAGATCGGCGCCCAGCAGTCTATCTCCTAATATGGCCCGCAAACTTCGCCCGATTCTCCATATCAATCTCTCTTTCGGTGGCGCTCAGTATTCGCACAATGGAATTGAATTTTCGAAACCTATGACATGTTGATGATGGACCAAAGCAATCGGCCAATCGGGTTCAGAGTGCCATTCCAAACTTTAGAGCTCTATTTAGGCATCACGGGTTTTCGCCGATGCTGAGAAAAAATTCCGCTAGGCTTTTGTGCCACAGGTATGATTGCTTCAGCGGACAATGATATTTGGTCAGCTGCAAAAATATGGATGAATGTTAAGATGGTTTTTCGTTTGAGCACATAGGCAACAAAATGTAATATTTTGATGCAAAAGCTCTTACTCCACCCATGAAGGTTTTGTGGCTAAGAACATTGTGCGGGTAATGGGCACCGCTTTCGGTACAGAGAACACCCGGTCGCATTCGTGCCTTAGTAGCTTGGTCTTCAACCCATTCTGATCCCATTTACGATAACATCCCTTCATGCAGCTTCGGGTCCTCTAAAATTGGTGCCGTTGTCACCATGAAGCTCTATTGGGCTGCTTCGTCTTTCGACAAATATCGAGAACGCGCATGGGAACGAAGTCGTGACCTCGATGTGAACGGCACGGATAGTCATGCAAGTGAATACACAGGCATATCGATTCTCGGTGCCATGTCCTCTTTTGACCAACAGAGGTCTGAAGTAGTCCGCCCCGGTGAGTGCGAATGGTCTACGACTGCAG